ATAGGAAGTCATATACTGGCAATTTACTATGACCTTAAAATTAACCTTTGACCTACTTTTTACCATGAACTGAACTTTGCAAATTTCCATTCCCTTTTATCTCCAAAACTGGCAGAGAAAAGTCCATAGTTACTATTGAACTTGAATAGGAAGTAATACACTGGCAATCTAACAGTGACCTTGAAATTGACCTTTGACCTAATTTTTATGATGAACTGCTTTTTGCATGTTTTCTGGCCTTTAAATCTGCAAAACTTGAAAAGAAATGCCCATGGTTACTATTGAACTTGAATAGAAATTCATATACTATGATGTTGAAATTGACTTTGACCTACTTTTTCACAATGAACTGAGCTTTGCATATTTTCTTGCTCCTCATATCTTCAAAACTAGCAGAGATGTGCCCAGTGTTGCCCCTAGGTTTTCTCTTTTGTCAGCATATATGCACCACTGACAACACATTTTAAAGGTACATACGAACCAAGCATCGGATGAGCGTGGATTCCCATTAACACATGTAAACCACTTCTACTAGTTTCTTATACGACTCAAATAAATTCGCCATGCCAAGGGATAAACTGAATAGATCACTCGATCAGACGAAAAAGAGCTTTAGACTGCTCCTTTCTTTAAATTTTTGGTTGTAAATTTAACCTACTTTCGTGACCTACTTTTCTGCCCCATTGACATACAGCATAGAATGCTAGCAGCAAAATCCATTCAAACATCATTTTCGGGTAAAATTAAACAATGCCTTTTGGTAATTCTCTTAGTTATACTACTTGAAACTATATGCTGGCATTTGGTTGGTTTTTGTGACAAAAAATTGACTTTTTATGCATCTTTAAGGAAAACCAATAGGCCTTTTGTCTAGAGAATCACAGGAGTGATCAATGGTAGGAAAATGCAGGTCAGTTCGAAAATCTGCTTGATTGTACCATTTTTATTCATATTTTTTGGCATATTTTGAGAACTCTTGTTGATTGCATTTTATAGAGCTTGTCAAGCACAAGACTGGTGATGGTGTCCCTTTTTTTTTTGGGGGGGGGGTTCCATACTGTATCGCCTCTCTGATCCTCTAGTTAGAAATTATAATTGTCGTCTTTTTTTAATGTTAAGTAATGTTATCACATATTGTACACAGCAAAATAAGATTTTAAAAGGAGGATAAAACAAGCCTGAAACACGTGTTAGGCGAAAATTGCGGCTTATCTTGCATAACACTTCCGGTAAAATGCAATACTTCCGGAAAGATGGACGTTTTGGCAGATGCCCCTAACAATCCGACGATATCAAAGGTTTCCATTTGCTGTATTTTAATCAATTCGACCAAACTGACATTTCCATGAAATTTAATTAATTAATCTTGGTCGAATTGTTTGGCATATTACCGTACTCATATTTCATCATTTTAGTGAGACAGCTTTCTATACTCAAACAGATAAAACAGCAAAAAAGTGATAGTAAAGTACATTTTGAAATGTGTCTGATATATTTCCAGACTTTACTAATTATTGGATAGACGCAATCCATACTTATGTGCAACAGCAAAACATGAGTGAAGATGGGGTATCGTCCCCCCGAATAATCATTGCTTGCACGCATAAAGACAAATACCTGGAAAATGTTCCCAAAGAAAAGGTAGGCATTAGTACTGAAACAAACAAAAATAATAATAATAATGATAAATTAATTAATTAAATTAAACTGTTTGTTCTTAAAAAAATAGTTATGACAATTGACTGATAAAATATGTGATTGAAGCTTGCTTTCCGTCTGTTGATAAACTGTTTCTCCCATTCTCTTACAGCATGAAGAAGAAATAAATGCATACTTTGATAAATTGCGGCAGCATATACAACAGAAGAGAAGTGGTGTGCATGTTGATCCTCGTTTCTTTGCAATTGACAACACATGTCAAGATGAAGATCAAGAAATATCTGATCTCCGTCAATATGTTATGAAAATTGCTGAAAGCCAAAAATCTTGGGGAGAGAAGAATCCAATAAGATGGATTAGATTAGAAGAAGATCTTCAGCTGCGACGAGCACCTGAGAAACGAGGAAAAAGGTGGATAAGGTATGAGGAGCTGCAAAATTTAGCTCTTAAAGTTGGAATGCAGGATGCCATTGAGCTGAAGTCATTCCTCCAGTTCCATCATGACATTGGAGATCTTATGCACTTTCAGACTGATGATCTTTCAGACACTGTCATTTTGAATCCAACATGGCTGATAGACGCATTCAGGTCTATTATAGCAGTTGATAAACACCATGTCAAAGCCAAAGGGACTCCGTATTGGTCTGCATTAAAGAGGGGCATCTTAGATGAAAGACTTTTGGATGAGCTATGGGGAGATGACAGTGAGTTGAAGTCCATTGTAATTGGTGTTATGGTACAATTCAACATTCTGTTGGAACAGGATGTCAAGCCAGGTACAACAGAAAAGCCTACTTCTCGACAGTTCTATGTGCCCAGCTTACTTCAGGTATGCAAGAATCCAGAATCTGGGGTTGGCAGTGAAGGAACACTATTCATACAAGGGAAAGAGAACTTTATGCCACATGCGCTTTTCAACCGGCTTACAGTGAAGTTAGTCCAAAATGGCACATCTTCAGGTAGAAAAGGATTAAGAAGAAGAGGTGACTTTTTTCTCTTTCAAAATGAGTTGTACTACGATTATGCTGTATATGTAATCGATCCACTCAGAAGAGCTCGTTGTGCTTTGAGAAAGTCACCAAAATCCTCTACCATCGAACTGATTCCCTTATATCCCCCAACGACAAAGTTTGACAGAACATTCAGAGGGGCATATGCTAAGTGGAAGAACCATGTTTCGATGCAAATTCAGCAAGTTAAGCAGACAATCTGCCCACATTTACATCTAGAATGGTGTGTCAGAAATCCAAGAAAGCCAAAGGTCAGAGATGAGCTGATGGCAATAGATCCGAAGGAGACTGATCACACACAATGTGGGCTACCTGAGGATTCAGTGTACAGACTATGGTTTTTGCCAGGCTCAAGTGAGAAGGTAAGTCATGTAAATATATAATGGAAGCGTGGCTCAGTCATAACTTCAACATGAATATAACATGTATTTTTGTGACAGAAATATATTTGATTTTAAATAAATGAATGCTCAAAGTATTTGATCACTGTTTTTTTTATATTGGATATTAAATGTATCTTTGTGAAATGTATTTTGTTTGGAAGTAAATGGGCAGTCTGTCTATCTGATTACTGGTTTTCTTTTATTCAATAGGAGCATGGTGTTACTGAACCCTCCATGAGATTACCAAGTGATGCTGGAGGTAAATAAAATGTTTAGAACATAAAACTCTTTTAACACTCTAAAGATAAATATTTTAAAAAACATCTTTTTTTATGAACAGACACAGATATGTCGCTGTCTGCCTTTGCTGCTGCAGTTAAGGACAGTGACCATTGAAGTTAAACCATGTCACTTATTGTTCTCATACAGGACAGAAACATAGGACCATGCATTTTATTATTTAAAGCTGATGGTCATTATGTTGTTTATCATTATGTAATATTGCATCAAAATTGAAGAAAACCCTATTTTGGGCACTGCTCCCATAATGACCATTAAGGAAAACTATGATTCATATTATTTTCAAACTTACTGAAAAGATTCATCCGACTGAAACGTGGCTTGAGTTGGAAAACCAGTCTGATTGCATTCTTTTCTGAAAGCAACGCAGTTCTTTATGAAATTTTCATTTTCCATATCTTGGCATTTTTAGCATGGGGTTTGTAACTCCCACGGACATGTAGACGACTATTAACCAAACCTCCAAATGTATAGTAGATCATCAAAATTTGGTGTTGGTTATGCTTTTAATTATTATGTAATATTGTATCAAAATCAACAAAAAATACTTTGTGCACTGTCACCACAAATGTTAGAAAAAGAAAACTGTTATTAAGTTTTACCTTACAAAAATAATTCTTAGGATTGATATACAGCTCAAATTGGAAACCAGCTTTATTGGGTTATCATTTTTATTGAATTAATGCAATGTTTGTGACTTTTTCATTTTTTATTCTGGTGTTTTCTAAGTTTTTACTTGAACTCTTATGGGCCTGAAGCCTTTTTGCATGTTACAAATTTTGTTTACATCAGTATTACTTGTTCTGCATAATTGTGCCACTAGAGATACACAATTTAGGCTTTGTAAGTCCTCCGGTCTAGGTGTGGCCATCGTTACAATACACCCTTGTCCTTGCAATATTAAATGCTAAATATCTCCAAATCCAAAGGAATTATGGGAAAAAATTATATAAATGGCTGACTGAAAGTCATATGTAGAGATTTCAAATAGGCCCTTGGATTTGACCTTTGACCTTAATTTCAAAGTCAAACATGCCAAACTTTTCTAAAAATGATAATTTTTATNTTGCCTCTCTGATCCTCTAGTTTGCAACTGAAATTGTGCTTAGTCTATTAGTCATATATGCACATTTTGTTGTACTGTAGCTTTGCTTTTTTTTTCAACATAAAACAATTTTGCCCTTTCCTGGTAATATTTGTCCACTATTATTAGGTTGTATATGAAGATTGTTGTCACATACAGCTGACAGCACCCTACATTCCTGGTTTCCTAGCTTTCCGTGAGGTGCCTTTCCTAGTGGAAAGCTTTGAGAGACTTAAGAAGAAAAATCCGGAACTTATGCCTCAGGTAAACTTAGATATATTTATCATAAATCAGATTAATTTGAGGGATCGAACTTTTATCTTGAGGATTTACTAAGTTTGATTTCATCTTCCATTTCAGCCAACCTTGACATGTTTTGCTGATAATCTCATCCTTCTTCTCATTATAATAGTTTTCATCTTTTGATACCTACAAAATTACCTTTAATTGCATATGTTTTACAGTACGAGCCTTAAGGTTTAATTTGGTAAATTTAATTTATAAAGAGACAGCTAGGAAGAGGTACAATGAAAATTGAAAATGTTAAGGCAATAGAAGCTTATGTAATTTTCTCCTACCAACCCTGTTTTTAAAACATTGTTTACCTCCTACAATTTTTACATTAATTATAACATAGGTGGTAACTAGTATACTGTATTCATATACAGTGTAGTTTGTTTGTAAGGTAGTAGATATCTCAAAAAGTTTTTCACAAACCCCGTTTTTAAAACACTGTTAACCTCCTACAATTTTTACATTAATTATAACTTAGGTGGTAACTAGTATATTGTATTCATATACATTGTAGTTTGTTTGTATGGTAGTAGTAAATTTTGATGAAATTTCAGGTTAGTCAATTCTTCATACAGACAAAAATTGATAAAATTTCAAATGAATATGGTCTTATAGATAGACCTGTGAAAATTCTTTTGTCTATAGCTTTTTATATTAGTTTGATCTTACCATTCAATATTTCAACTGCTTGCTATCTTATAGATATTTTAAAAGTATTTCATTTATTTCATTATTATTTGCATTTTGCTTTGACAGTAGTCTGTACTCTACTAGTAGGGGTGCTCTTTGCTTATATACATTTATATGTATAGCCAGTTTCAACAAATTGGATTGATTTGTCATGATAAAGGTTAAAATTTTAGTACATATCTATGCTATTACAGTAGTAAAATTGTGTACACATGTGATTGTGACATCATAAGCACAGAGTAAATTAAACTATTGTGACATCATAGACACCAAGTAGTCATATGATTATGACATCACAGGTGGATACTCCATAGCATGCATAGTTACAAAAAAAAAGGATTACATGTACATGTAGATCTTTTAAAGAAATCTTGAAAAATAATACCTCTGCTGTTTAGATTTAATTTTATATTTCATAATAATAACAATGTATAATTATATTTATTTCTTAAACAGAAAATACCATTATATCTTAACACATGTTACAACACATTTTTAATTAATGGACTTCACAGGTTTACTATATAAAATGTTTGAAAAATTACATACTAAAATGATAGATACTTAGTTTAAAATTTAAAGACTTTAATCATAAAACAATTTAAAAGATGTATTTTCAGAGAGACTTTAAAACTGTCATTATTACTTTTAGTTTTAACAGAAAAATAGATTGTTCAATAATTTTGACATAAATATTGACATTATTATCATAATTGATATGAAAAAAGCTTCGGTTTTCCAACACCGTTCAAACAGCTATGTAACTTGGTGTACTTTCTTTATATCCTTTAGACAATACACTTGCAAGGCTTTAAATAAATTCTTGTTAGATCAGTAGCCAATGTATCTCCTTAAAGACTGGAGTAATATGTTCCATTACTTATATTACAGGTTGTTTTAGTTGATGGTAATGGCATCCTTCATCCAAAAGGTAAGGTTTAATGTCTGCTTATGAGTTGTTTCCTTTTCACTGGCTTACCAGGTAAATACGGTTTTAATTAGCATATAATACTATTGTACTAAGCATCACAGATGGGTGTGTTACTTGCAATTTTCTTATTTTAATCCATCTGACTTCTGAATTTTTGACCAAATACATGACATAACATTATCATTTTTGCAGATTAATTGAATAGTTTAAACCCCTGACTTTTTCATTCAAAAAGAATTGTAAAGAATACAGGTTAGTTCAAGAGCAGCACTTGAAAAATTGATTTGACATGCATATATGCCGTTTTGTATCCAGCCCCAAGAAGTGTTTGTTAAGTCCTGTTTTCTCTGCCATGTTAGTCATGTCAACTTCAGACAAGATCAAATATGAAAAAAAAATTTTGAATTAATTTCATTTCAGAGTTTGGACTTGCTTGTCACCTGGGTATCATATTGGACATACCCACAGTGGGTGTGGCAAAGAAACTCTTTCAGGTGGATGGCCTGGAAAAGAATGCAGAACATGCTGACAAGGTATAATAATGTCACAGCCATCTCACTTACTTCCCCTCTGTCACAGTCCTATTTCAAGTTTCAGTAACATTATAAAAAGATGAAAATAACCCTATTATCAAAATCAGACCTCCTAAAAGTAAGAATTTGGGTAAGTGCATTAATAAGTTTCTTGTAAGAAGGAAAATTTTGTAAACACTTTACAGATCTAGAAATAAGTTATTTGAATATACATTATGCCAACAGACAGTCATTAATACGTAGGCTTCAGCTTTTATACCTCATAGTCATGTGCATATTAACTGCATCTTTTTATATATATATATATATATATATATATATATATAATTTGTTTGTGGTATTTTTATTTGTTTGTCAAAGCAACGCTATAAATCATGTTTTAAGGTGAAGCAACTGACAAAAGGAGGTGATACATTCCCACTTATTGGTGCTTCTGGCAGGATTTTAGGAAAGGTAAATTTTATTTGATAATTATTCTCTCTGATTTGTTATATTATAAACCCTAGATATTATATCATGCTACTTAGAAACATGCCACATAATAAGATAAATTTATTTATTTATTTAAACTGCATTGTCTTCAATGTTACAGGCTCTTCGAAGTTCTGACAACACAGAAAATCCTGTATATGTCTCAATTGGTCACAAAATTTCTCTGGAAACTGCGATATGTCTTGTTCATCAGTGCTGCAAGTATAGGATACCTGAACCAATAAGACAGGTAATCTATTCAAAAGATAATTTTGATTAATTTAATTAATTTTAATAAATTAAAATCCAAAAATACCTACTGTAGATGTGTGCAGTGTTTTGTTGCTCTTCCAGCTCAGAGTGTGCCTCAGATATTAGTGTTTTGATAAATATTTAGTTCTTAAAGTTACATTTAAAGAGAGTCTTGATTCCCAGTAATGCATATTAACCACTTCTAGTTTCTTGCATGACTTAAATAAAGTGGACATGCCAAGGGATAACTGAATGAATCACTTTGAACAGCATTGTAAACATTATATTATATTATATTATATTATATTATATTATATTATATTAATGCAACCTTTTTTTTTGTTATTCTGCTATTAGGCAGACATCAAATCTAGAGAATACTTGCGTCAGCTGTTTCCAGAACAAAATAGCCAAGCTGAAAAGACATAAGAGATAGGTCTCTAAATTAAAGCAGACAAGAGATACAGCCGGAGATATGAGGTGGAGACAGGAACGATCGTTCACTGTTCGCATAATTTTTGCAAGTATTTTGGACAGTAACCAGTTACATCGCGAAAGCCAGTAGGCGACCGATGAATGGTGGTGGAGACCTAGAGCAACGGCTTGGCAGACCATCGAGTTCCGTTGGAAAACACCTTGCATCCCCAGGGCCGTCAGGACGATATCCTGTGATCTGTTGTGCAGCTGGGCCTAAATTTGTTCTCCAAACGATTGCAAGCCCGGCGTTAATGCTGTAAATGGGGTCCTGACCGAGAAGTGCTACATTAATTTACCGAATTAGTGTAGAAAGACACAGCTACAAAAAATCATTACTGACACCTGTGTCGACTGATTTCGCCTGCGAGTTACTCAAAGTGTTATCAGTAAAGGAAAAAGAAGGCAAAGCAACTCTCTGGTTTATCAGAAAGATCATTAAGCTAGTAAAATTACTTACGACAAAGTCCGTTACGATATGTATAACGGTAGATACGAAATTAAATTGGCTATTATTCGTAGATGATGTTGCAACAAAGCAAAGTCAGACTGAACTTTTGACGTATATGTAAGTTTACTACGGCATGAAAAAGAGATAAATACTCTGTTGTATAATCATTTCAAATATATGTATGTATAAAAAGTCTTGTCTACATAACGGACAACAAAGAAGGAATGCACGGAACATATATATATACCGCATAGCACAACACCAATGGCCAAACTTCGGGAAAGTCGGGATACAGACGTTGGGAGGAATTTGGTAGAATGGAGGCGTTTGCCAGTGGTCCAACATGGAGGCGACCTCGACCGTGCCGACAATATTGCCACACTGTGTGAAACGACGGTGCGGTCACTGATTGCTCGACTGATTGCTATGTCTGGGGAGGATCGAGCTTGCATGACCACACCGCCACTGGCAAATTGTAACTTTCGCATTATATAAAAGACGTGCTCAATTGTTTCATTTTAACTACGTCATTTCTATTGATGAGATTTTGAAGAGATCTTAGTAGAATTTTTAGGAAAGAGAAGCTGTTGTTCATCACGTTTGCCAGGTGCAATAACATGTACTTGAAAATTACAGACAGAAGGCAATTTTTCAAGAAGTTTCATAGCCTGACTTGACTGATTTTAAACTCTACCTTGTTCTATATATTTATTGTCTAATATGTTAGCTGTTTATTAATTTCATTACATTTGTCTTTATTTTTATATCTTTTGTAAAACACCCTTACGTCGTATATAACCATGACTGAATCACTACAAAATATATCGGCACGCGATATAAAAATTAAAATTATATGGCACTGAATGTACGTTACCGGAACATGAAATGCGTTACAATTTGGGCTCCTTACATAATGTATGGACATGGTAAAAAATTAATGTAGTTGTAAAATCGAGACAACCGTGGATCTTTGGTCTATATACGTGCATGTTCTAAAAAATCAGCCGAGCGTGTTAAAAATTAATACAACCTCGAATTCATTCAGTTGTATTTTTGATACTTCGAGCATGTGAAATGCACCTCTACATTTGTATAGGTGTAAAGCGTTGCGGATTTGAGAATCTTTGGACTGTCGGCACGTACTCGAGATAACCGACATGAATCAACCACCATTTTCTAGTGTTCATTATTTCTGGGAAGGATTAAATCGACATCAACACTTCAATGTAACGAATTTTATGAAAATGATGAAAAGTAGTTTAAAGTAAGCTTTTTAATTGTTTGGTGATTATGATGAACTGTTGAGTTGTTTTAACTTCTTTTTAACCAATACTCCGATAAATTTGCTCGCAAGGTGAGCTATCACAAGTGTAGATATAAGATAAGTCCAGTAATGAGTAGAATGAGGTGAGTGACGTGAGTTACATTGAATGGACTTGGTCACGGTCATTTTGTTCTATTCATGTTAATGTCCACACACAACTAGTCGAGATATGAGGATCGTAAATATGTCGAAATAGCCAAGGTGAGGCAAGTCCATTCAACTGGAGGGTTATCAGGTGGGGCGAAGTAATTCCATTGGAGGGGTGTCTGGTGGGGCAAGCCCATTCAATTAGAGGGGTGTCGGATGGGGTGAGTCCATTCCATCTGGGGGGTGTCAGGTGAGATGAGTCCATTCCATTAGAGGGGAGTCAGGTGGGGTGAGTCCACTCCAACTGAGGGGTGTTGGGTGGGACGAATTCATTCCATCAGAGGGGAGTCAGGTAGGGCGAGTCCACTTCATCAGAGGGGTGCCAGGTGGGGCAAGTCCATTCGATCAGAGGGGAGTCAGGTGGGGCGAGTCCATTCCATCAGAGGGGTGTCAGGTGGGGCAAGTCCATTCGATCAGAGGGGAGTCAGGTAGGGCGAGTCCACTTCATCAGAGGGGTGCCAGGTGGGGCAAGTCCATTCGATCAGAGGGGTGTCAGGTAGGACAAGTTCATTCCATTGGAGAGGTGTCAGGTGGGGAAGGTCCATTCCCTTGGGTGTGGGGGGGGGGTATTATGTGGTATTACGTGGGGCAAATCATTTCAATTTGAAGGGTCACAGATATACTAAATCGAGCATAATTTACCCATATTCAGGAATCTATGGAATCCGGAAATGGTCACAAAAACACAAAGAAATCAGAAATTAATTTCAAACATATTTTCTAACTACCTCAATTTGGTTCAGAGAAAAGGAACTAAAAAGTGTGTATATGTTATACCCTCAGAATGTAAATTTTGGGCAAAGTTCAACTATTGCCGTTTAATAAAACGTGGTTTAAGGTTACATCAGAATAATTCCCACTTTCATTTTTATATTAATTGAAGTATTCACATAAAGAATAGGTCACCCAATATAAATTAATATACAGTTGCAAATTAGAACCGTCACAAATGGGCTGATCCTATATTAGGAAATTTAGGAAAATTATGTTCAGGAGGGCAAATGATTTAGTTCCATTTTGCTATAGAACAAATTTAAAGTGAAGTTCTACAAAGCAGGATTGTAAATTTTACAAATAAATTATAAATGTGGATTGTTGGAAACTGTTTTAGATTTTCTTTTAGTGTGTCAAAACAGCTGAAATGTTAAAGTCCCAATTATACAAAACACTGGATATATTTGTTACGACGTTTACAAATATTTTAATTTTAAATACATGTATTCTTAGGCCATAGGACCCGTTAATCACAAAAACATTTAGACATAAATTAAGTCCTCAAACACGAAATTTCCTTTTATCTTTACTACTATCTTTATCAACAATTTATAAAAAAAATAAAAAAACTTAAATAACAAAAGTATTTATTCAGTATTCATATAATTGATGCACGAAGGGGCGAAGAGTTCCTGGCTATGAAACAAAGGCTAGGCTTCATAGGTTGCTTGCAGGCGCAGGTTGTGCAGAATCTCGTTGACCTTCTGAAAGAGAAATAACTATTATAGCTACGGTAGTATGTTACCTTACGCCTGTACAATAAAAAGGTCCCATCGGGTAATTTCGTTTCGCGTTCATATCGTACATTTGGAGTCCTACAGCATTGTAACCGAAAGGCTAAATACTACTATTTTGAATGACATATGGGTAGCGATGGGAATATTAGTATAAGGACTCGAATATTTGTCGTAAATATTCTTTTATTCGTCTTCCCCTTTAATGTTTAATGGAGGTGGTTATTGAAGAAATAGTGATACTCACATTTATGTATTTGCTTCTACGCCCTTCTACGCGACTTTGTGACTGCACCACACAAACTGTTGCGTCTACACCCGTTCTCTGTCCAACTGTCAATTGAGCATTCGGGAGGACAGCTCACACAACGAAGAGCAACTTATTTGCATTCAAATTACAACAGGTATGGCTCATTTGAGGTGAGATGTTGTTACTGAAACTGTTCACGAATATTCAATAAATTCAGTGAAGATGCCTTCACACGTGCACGCTCAAAATTGTGCGTGTAATCGGTGTCACATACGATACTTATACGTACATTGTGTACCTCTGTATGTTAGTTGTGTCAGAACCTTTATATATTGGTTAGTTTATCAGCAAACATTATCAGAATGTTGTCCTCACGTTCTACACTATCATTATTATAAATGATCCCAGAAATATTGTCATCAAACTCTAGGCCTACATGTATTAACGTATAAGATTTGACGAATTTTTCAATCATAGGGGCCTACAAGTTTTGTTAATTTAAGAAAAAAATATATGCAAAAAGGATTTCAGATTTTGAATCATTACAATTTGCACAATTTTGATGATCATATCTAACGTGTTGAAAACGTTTCCACAATGTCAAAATAAAATGATATATGTCGGTCATATTAAATTTTACCCAGATAGCCAGCAGTGGTCGCGCCGACGTTGGGCCACAAGTCTACGTTTTATCTTACACTGCTTGAACAATACCAGCTTATTAAAATTATCATAAATATAATTATTATTAAAATTGGGCTTGGGATTTGTCGGCGACTATAGCCTCTCGGTATGCCTACGTACCGGAGATAACCGACATGTGATGAAGAGCTATTATTAAAAAAGCTGAATCTTGCTATTTTTTTAATGAGGAACGTGAATTGTTTTTATTCCATTTTAAGTAATACATTATAATCAACTTTTAAGTCACAAAAAAAATAAATAAATAAATAAATAAAATCACAAGTGCAGTTAACACAAGAGTGAATAAGTCCAGCAGTGAAATGAGTTGATTGAGTTGAGTTACGTTGAATAGTAGGCCCTAGCCCTACTTCATCACGGTCATCTGATCCTATCCATCCACCCACAACTTATCAAAATATGAGAGTTGATGTCTATATTTCAAAATAGACAAACTTAGCCTACGATTGTGAGCTACAGGTCCATATGACCCTAGTTTTTACATTTTTAATATTCTCTAAACGTTATCGTGTAACGTTTCACAAAAATATCCCAAAAACATTGACAAAACTTTCTTGGTAAACATAGTTTTCATAACGTTAGGGAACATTGCCACAGGTATTTGGATCGATCTATCTCCCTGGGGAGTCTCACTAAATTGCCATCAACTCGCCTAGTAAAGCTGTTAGGGGGTAAATATCTTTAGTTAGACTCCCCAGGAAGTTTGACCGATTCAGGCATGGGAGCCCAGTCTTAGACCCCATTTCCATAGATTTTAGATCGATCTATCCCTGTGGGGAGTCTCACTAGATTACTGTCAGCTTAGCCGGCTTAAGCGTCTGTCCCGCCTACTAAAAGCTGTAAGGGGGTAATTAACTATGGTGCGCGCTCGGCTGACTGCAATTTAGCGTGAACCCCCAGGGAGTTAGGTCGATCTAAATCTTAATCTCTGGATCGATCTAAATCTCTGGGAATGCACCCTTAGACTTTGGTATCATAAACCGTTCCCCCAATGTTCTAAGGGCATTTTTTGTTAGCTGGGTTGAATAGAATTTTCCGAAACACTATCTACAAATACTGATTATTAAAACCCTATGATTTTTTTTAAAAAAAGTCTATGAATTTGGGAAAAAATCAGACCAGTCAGCGCCATCTATAATTGAGCAACGCCCTCCCACAACTTCCGTTCGTCTGCTTCGCGCGTAAAAGTTGCGTTGTCAGCGATCATGGCTGATGGTTCGAACGAAGATTTATTTCGTCTGTTAGGAATCAATAAAAGTGCATCAAAAGGAGAGATTAAACAGGCAAGTTTCGCTTCCTATTTAAAAGTATTCAATTCACAGTAAGAACAGCTAGAATGGCATGAGATCCTCAATCATTTTGTAAAAGAATTTAAGTTTGTGAGCTTTGTGTCTGTCCCATAGTGGAGTTAGCCTAGGTTCTGTGGCATATATGAGACACACTATCTTTCTTTGTCAGCATAATTACCCGTAATGAAGCGCACACTGCCTGCCTTCGAACTTTCTCAGTTTTAGCGTTTGTGTAAAATTTTACCACAGAAGCAAGACGACTTTAATTCTTATACAAACCGTCATCCAAATCTGCGTAGCCGAATAAAGTCAATCCCCCCTCTCCGGTGTAAAAAAATACTCCAGTCGGTCTTCAAATTGCCTCATTATTGTATCAGGGAACGTTTTATTATTATTATTATTTCTATTTATTTATTTATTTATTTTACTTATTTATTTTTTTTTTTTTTGGGGGGGGGGGTGATTCAGCTTGGAACTGAGTACTTTTTTTTATGGGTGAGAACTATCTGAACTCGTTTATGGTCTCCATCTTGCCTTCATTTGATTTCATGTATTTTTTTCCGTTGAAGGCCTTTTATCGAAAAGCCAAGGAGCTGCATCCAGATCGAAATGGTGGCGGGGACGACAAGGTGGGAGTTCAAATCTTTGTCTGACGTTATAGTAATACTTGCTTCAGGATTTAAAAAAAGTATCCACGAGTTACTTCACAATTGACTTATTTCACAGTCTCTGAGTCTTTGAATTTTTAAAACTACATGTATAACAACACAGTTCTTTGCTAATCTAATGAAGATAACTTCAATTCAATCCACCGGCACGTGAATTAGTGATTTTTTGAGCTATTAGACTATTAAAAACAAGCTGAAACGTATATTTTGAATAGTTTTTAAAATAATTCTGTATACTCTATAAAACGGATCTGTCTGTAAACTGTGTATATAACCAGTGGATAATTATATATTTACATCGAATATATTAATCCATTTTCTCTTACTATTCAGTACAAACAAGTGACAGAGGCCTATCAGATACTTGTGGACGACGATAAAAGACATTTCATCAATGAATATGGAAAAGACGCTTTCATTAACTATAACTGCAAAACTGATGAGGGTATGGCCTGATTTGTTTAACTTGTTCGACTGACATTGTGAGATTTTTCTTTTCTTCCTCTTGTAAGTGTAGGTGTTGCTGTAGTTGTGCCAAAGACCAGCTACCACAATGCAGAAAGTTAAAATGTATTTGAATGAGAACTAAAACGATTTTTAACATTGAACTTGCAATTTGAATTTTAAAATATTAACTGTGCATTATTTAGATTTTTAGATTATATAAGTTTCATATTTTTCTTTCAGAACTGGAGCTAGAACATTTTCAGTACAGGTATGTTATGAATTTGGGCCTTTCTTGATTTTGTGCCATCTACACGTACAGTTGTAACACAGCAACATGGCTGGAAGAGTTGGGTAATATACTGCATATCTTTATTTTTTTCTCACAACTCATTATTTTGGTGCTATGGGCTTTTTATGGTTTTATGGTTTGTTAGCACTAATTGGTTTTGTAATCAGAATGTAGCATTTTATTTTCAAGTGTGCGTCTGTTGCTGTTTTTATATTATATAAGTTTACAAGGTAAGGACTAAGCTTGCAGATCTAAATCGAATCGAAGAGGTTACATTGGATTTTTAGCGAATTTAACATGAGACCAGACGTCGATCAGTGTCGTTATTTGCTCAGAACAAAATTGGAACTAAAGCTTAACACAGCTGCTCAACACAATAAACTGTAGCCGAAAAGAAATGTAGTGCTAAATCTTTGAAGTTTTCTACTTGTATCTAAGTTAAACAATGAGTAGGTCCAAATATGTGAATTGTTTACCTGACTTGTTCAACTGCAATAAATGTGACTCCCTTTACATGTGTTGCGATATATTTTGTTGAATACAGATTATGTGCCTTTGTCATAGTGCCATTCCCAGTGATAATATACTGCGCTGTTCATTCTCACGATTCTTTATTTGTAGGTGAAATATTGGGACTGAAATTGTGATAATTCATTATGACCGATCTGTAAAAAGCTCTGTGCATAAGCTGTTGGAAATGTTTCTTACATAGTAATTTTATTTAATTTATTTATTTAATAATAGGCTGCTGTTCAGGGATTGACATATGTCTTCAAATGCAAAAAAAAAAAAAAGTAAAATTAGATTGTACATTTTTCTTAATTACAGGGAGATGAATCCAAATGACTTCAGGATCATTCGTGAGATCTACGAAAATGACAGTGCACCAGAAGATTTTGAGAATGAACTAGACCGTGCCTTGGAGGACTGTGTGAGCTTTATCATTATAGAACCAACCAAACTCGGGGATGAGACTGCACGCTGGATTAAAGTTGGGAACTGTTTGCACAAAACCTCGCTTCTGTCAGGGGTGTGTTGCTTGGCTGTTGGCAAGCTGTGGCCTCAGGTTGGCAGTATCCTGACGTGTCCATTGGGGGTGGTCAGTGTTATGTGTGCTGGTCTTTACATGGCTTCATGGCAGTATGACCCGTGTTGTAAATACCAAGTGGTCACTGACCCCAGAAAACTACAGGGACTCCCTCTTTATGATCTCACCTCACCGTCCTATGTGGCTCTGGAAAGAAAAGACGATACTGCACGAAAAATTCTCCACACAATAGTTGCCTTGGCAGCTGGAGGGTTCTGTTTATGGAAACTTTCCAAGTGGTATTCTTCTTATTCTTATGTGGATGAGATTGATCTTTGATTCAACTAATTGTTTAGTAATTGTTTTGTAATCTTCTGTGGTCTTTTGGCAAGGACATCATTTTTATATTTTAGTGAAAACTAATATTCTGAGGACATTCATGTGAACTGGATAGACTTCTGGTTTACTGTGACACATTCTCAACATTGGATCTGTGCAGAAAGACGTTAACTTGTCATTGTCACCCCGAACAAGGAATATATTTAACAGTTTACTATTTGAAAAATATGAGACGGAAGACTAACCTACTGTAAGGATCTTTGTGCACTTCACAAAGTTTACCTACTGTACTGATCTAGCAGAATGCCAGTTTACTTGAGAGTTGTTCCACCTGAATGGTGCATGAAACTTTTCATGGTTTGCTCTGCTCTCAAACTGCTGTTTAAGTCTTCCAGACCACTGCATGAAGTGTCAGAGTGACTGTTTTAACTGGACTAAAGTTTTAATAGCTGTGTAATTATCATTTTAAAGAGGTTTCAAACCATACTGTATGTGTGAAGTGTGAAATTTGTCAAAGAGTCATTTATATGAGCAAGAATGCCAGTCACTGATGATGGGAGAGGGGACAATACTTCATGACATCAATGTCCTAGTTGTTCAATACTTTAAGAAGTCCATATGTACAAATGTAGTTAAACAATATGGCAATTTGGTATATGCAGTGTTCTTATGAGGACTTATGGTATGGATGATAATTGATCTATACTTGATAAACTATCCTCATCAATGTTAGTATGTAATCTGTTGATTTAATGCAACATTTTTTTGCACTAAAGGATGGTCTGGCAAAGGGGCCTGAGAGTTAAGTAATCAATAGCACCGTGAAGCCTGGAGTGTGTTTCAAATACTGTGATACAGCACAAAAATGGCCCTTTAGCACATGACACATTTGCAATGTTTGATTTTAGTTAATAAATTAGAACTGAACAGTTTTGAAGCTTTGTGGCTTTCACTTTTATTTTTGTTTTTAACGCAAGTATAATTTTTTTAAATTGTGAAAATTGAGCAACCACCTTAACTAGCATCATCTTGAAATGATGACTGCCACAGGATAGTGTGCAGCAGGTTAAATAATTTAAATAATGAAAATCAATGTACTCTTGAATTGAGATTAATTTTTATTCATATTTTTATGTACAGACACAGATGTGTCTGTACATATAGCCATCACCTGCGTCTGTCGTCGTCGCCGTGCACTTTGACCACCGATAACATGATAAGTGAAAAACCGTTTACCTTTTGGCATGAAACTTACAGAACTGATGAGCTTTCATAATATGCAGGTCAAATTTTTTCTAAATTAAATTAAATTAAATTAATTTTTTCTCAAACACTGGCATTTGTGACTTTTAACTCCCATCTGCCTGAGGCTCTGCACATTTTCTGTATTTCCACATAAGCAGTTGTATTGGTTTTTATGTCTTTAAACATTATGTAATATTATTTTATGCACTGTCATCATTTTTCAAATATTGGGACTTTCATCATGTGAATTTGAACTCTCATGGTCCTGAAAGTGTAATCTTATTGAAGGGATGGATTGAGACCATCTTCTGGGTCTTCCGGAAGACGGTCGGGTTTTTAAGTTTATATTGACAGATATCTATTTTTTTCTGTTGGAAGACCATCAAAATGGAGGATGGATCAACAAAGATACTTTGGAATACTGTCAGAAAATATCTCTGGGTCCACTCCTGTTATTGACCATGTTACCTGTTGGTATGATTAAAATTCAGTGTCGACTAACAGTGCTATTATAAGCATTATTTATTATTGCATCAAAATTGACAAAATGACCTATTTTGCATCATTATTTTCTGGGTTTTTTTTGTCTGTACATTTGACAGCTTTGCTGCCTTGTTTTTAAATTGAAAATCTCACTGTGTATCCAGGATTGCCTCAGCCAATTTTCCACCAGGGCACTTCATGCACATTTTCATTGACGAGGCCGGTCATGCTGTGGAGCCAGAGGGTTTGATTGCGTTAGCTGGAATCTTGGAGTGTGACGTTCAGAGCAAAGATGGCGGTCAGGTGGTGCTGGCAGGCGATCCCAAACAACTTGGACCAATTCTGAGGTCTCCCTTGGCCATTGAATATGGACTGGGTAGGTAACTTATAATAATGATAATTATTATCTTTATTATTATTATTATTATTACATTTATATTAATGGCAATGATAAGTATCCTCTGGCCATTAAATGTGGACTGGGGTGATTTATCTTTGACTTGATAATGATAATAGTAAAATTTTAATTATAATAATATGCCCCCAACAGCCATTATAATAAAAATGATAATATGAGTAATAGTAAAGTTTTAATCTGCCAGTGTGTGTGAGTGTATGTGTTATGAAATGCATTAAAAGGGGAAGTTACATTACTACCTCGGGCTTAAATAAAAATGAAATAAGACTATGACTAAAAGAAAAGTGAAGTTGAAAATTGTGGACAAAAGTACTATGATTAACTATAATATTTACAAAGGTGTTTGAGAGTCTGGTAAAATCATATACATGTAGGACTTATTCTAAAAGCTTTTTATTGACCAGTGATTTCTGCTTCTAAGATTTAAGTAAAATAAAA